TGGGCACCTTCTGGCTGCAGCATGGAGACACTCCTGCTGTTAGACATCTGACTGCTGATGTGCTGGTTGTTCTTCCTCTCTCCTCAAGCTCTGTGCCTCCTTTTCCTCCTCAGATTCCCTGGGTGGTAACAGCCACACTCTGATGATTGCCTGTGTGAGCCCAGCAGACTCCAACCTGGAGGAGACCCTGAACACCCTGCGCTACGCCGACAGGGCCAGGAAGATCAAAAACAAACCCATTGTCAACCTGGACCCTCAGGCAGCTGAGCTGCACCAGCTGAAGCAGCAGGTACTGGGGGTTCTCTGCTTTTTTTTGGGGGGGAGAGTAGAGCTGGGGGTGGGGTCTCTGACCCCCTGCCCAGAGCAGTGGCAGCTGGGGGTGAGTTCTCGTGCTCTGAGCTGAGCATGCCTGGTAGATTTTTAGGAGTAAATCATCTAGAATGCTGTAGCAGCACAATTTCTTTCCACAGAACATAGTGAAAGGACCATTTCACACAGCAGGAGACTTGTCTAAAGATTGAGGGTCTTAACAGTGTCCCTTCCACTATCTACTTCCTCCCTGGGAGAGTTTTTAACTCTTTATTTGTCCTTCTAGGTGCAACAGCTACAGGTGTTACTGCTGCAGGCCCATGGAGGGACACTCCCAGTGTCTATCAAGTAAGATTTGTGCATCACTGCTCAATGATCTGATGAGCATCACATCCCAGCAGAGCTTCTAACCACCTTTGCTCTAGGCAGAGCTGGCACAGCAAACTGGTTGCTTCCTAATAAGACCTGGACAATTTTTTTTCTACTTTTATTCCTTTGTCAAAATTCCATCTGTGGGTCACTTAGACTTCTAGTAAAGCCCTTAAGACTGTTCAAATCCATCTTGGGCAGTATGAAAGGAATGAGGCAATGCCTCCTTATTCAAGTACCTGCTTCTCAGACCCACCCATCACTCTTCTTCCTCACCCCTTAAATGTGGAGCACCTCCATTAAAACCCACAAAATTCAGGGCAGAGGTGGATTGTGCAGGTGGTGTCTTCTGAGGAGCTTTCAGACCTCAAGTACCTGCAGTTTACAGACTTGGTTAAAGAGCATTCCTGGTTCAAAAGGGTGTTTTCTGTTGCAAATCTCCTTCTGGTTATGCTGAGCTGCTTCAATTTTTTAATTCAGATTGTACTTCCTTCATTTATTTATAGTAAATTAAGATAACCTGTATTTATTGTAAGTTAGGAAACTCAGAGGTAATTTCAGTGCTGTTACAAACCTCTAGCAGAGTCCTGTTCCAAAGCAAATTGTCTTTGATATCTCAGTGGTATGGAACCTTCAGAGAATCTCCAGTCCCTGATGGAGAAGAACCAGTCACTAATGGAGGAGAATCAAAAGCTGAGCAGGGGGCTGAGTGAGGCTGCTGGCCAGACAGCACAGATGTTGGAAAGGATCATTCTGGTAAGATCCAGCTCCCCAGGAGAGCTTTAATTGCAACACTTCCCCTTTTTTTTTTTATGAAAATTAATTAGCAGTAGCTCCTGTCCTATTGGAATCTCATTTTTAGTGCTCCTTTCACATTACTTTCAAATCTAGTCAGAAGCAAAAGTCTCCCAGAGCCTGTCAGGACCTACAGATCTGGTGACTTCAGTGGGGGAAAACCAGACATGAATCTCTCAGCCTTTCTGTTGAAGGCTTTAAATTGCACATGCACCCTCTCTTCCCCACCCTCCTCTGCTCTTTGTCATTCACTGCAGTGTGTTTCCCTGGGAAAAAGGGTGTGAAGTCTAAACCTGGTGGCATTGATTTGCCACAGGCTGACAACAGGTCTCTTGCTGCAAATAAATTGAGTTTTCTGACCTCTTATCTTGCTTTTCCTGCAATTTTTGTGTAATTCTGGCTTCTCTTAGACAGAACAAGAGAATGAGAAGATGAATGCCAAACTAGAGCAGCTTCAGCACCATGCTGTGTAAGTGTTTCCACACCCTGCTCCTGCTGAGGAAATGTTTTTCCAGCACTAAATGGTTTTGTTTAGGATAAAATGGATTAACAGCTTGTGTGTGTTCAGCTAGAGCTCATCTCTGTGTTCAGTGGGGAGGGACAGTTGTTCCTCACTGGCCTGTGTGACACAAACATGTCATGTCATGCTCCTGGACTTCCATGTCTGCATTGCAGATGCAAGCTTGACCTGCAGAAGCTGGTGGAGACTGTGGAAGATGAGGAGCTCAAAGAGAATGTAGAGGTGATAAGAAATCTGCAGCAAGTGTTGGCTCAGCTGCAGGTAAGGCTGAATCCAGGGAGGGAAAAAGTCTCTGCCAAGCAAGGGTACTAATGAAACTTAGAGTTCTTCTGCCAGTTTGCTGAGCAGTGGCCTCCACTCTGCAGAAACCTTCCTGGAGGAGCCCAGGAGTTACAAGGATTAAATGACTCTTGATATCCACCTCCAAACAAGCTGTCCTGCTGTGCTCTTCATGCTGCAGAAAGGCCACTTGTGCTTGAGTGGCCCCACATGGGGGGGGAAAAGGCAGAGTCTCTATCAAAGAACCTGACAGGGGGAGATGAGGCCATGTCATTACAGGCCAACAGACTTGTTAGCTTTGTTTGACTTAGTTTATGTTACTTTACATCAACATTTTCTTCTTTGTTCCCTACAGAGTGAAAATGCTGCTCCAATGGAAGCTGCTGCAGAGGTGGCAAACTCTGAACAGGATGCTGCAGCTGTGAGTGAGGGGATTCCAGCAGGACAGGCCTTACCCAGGGGCACTTTTCATCCTCAATCCTTTCTTACCTCCATCCTTTGGCTACTTTTCTAACCCAAATGTTTGGTAAATAATACAGGTCACTTTTCTATGCTCTTACTTGCTCAATGTATTCATCATCTCCATCTGTTCTAAGCTGTTCTCATTTCTGAATATCTATTTCATGTAAAAAAATGAGCTGGAATTCTGCAGACAATGGGATCTGATAGTTAAAAAGCTTTGACTTGGCCTCTCCTCCTCCTTGCTGCATCTCCTCCAGGAAGCAGAAATGGGCCAGGACACCAAGAGATCCTCAGAGGACTTCAGCACCCAACATGCCCTCCGTCAAGCCCAGATGTCCAAAGAGCTGCTTGAACTAAACAAAGTCCTGGCTTTGAAAGAGGCACTTGCCAAAAAAATGACTCAGAATGACAGTCAGCTGGAGCCCATTCAATCCCAGTACCAGGTAAACTCTTCCCAAAGAGTTCTTGTAAACCTGTCCTCAGTTTTTTTTCCCCCAATGACTGCAGTCACTGCATGCTGAGGAGGGGAGGGAGGAGATCTGTCCTTTTATTTGGTGTTTCCTTTGGGCATAGGGGGGAGTTAACTACAGGTTTCAGCAGACAAGGTGAGGGGATGACCATGCCCAGCTATCTACAGCTAGTTCCACCACCAGTAGATAGTCTTTTCCCTGAAATTAGCTCTTGCCCTCTAGTTGTTCTACACAAAATGGGCTGGTTTTCAGGCTGTTTTCAGGCAAAGGTGGCTTTTGCAGCCTGTTGGGAAGCAACACTGTTTCTCAAGGCTCTCCTGCCTTAAAGCTTTGCCTCAGAGTCTAGTTTCAAGGTTTCTCTTTGGAGGCTTCACTACTCTTCTCCTTTCCAGACTAATATCCAGGACCTGGAACTGGAGGTCAGCAGTCTGCAGAAAGAAAAGGAGGAGCTGATCCTTGCTCTGCATATGGCAAAGAAGGATGTCAACCAAGCCAAGTAAGAGACTGTGCAAGCTCAGAGCACTGAAAACTGTTAGTGGGCCTGGGAAAGTTCACTCTCTTGCACTTCTACTTGTTCAAAGATCTTGTTTTGATGACATATAATCCTTTGACATGGGTTGGGAGGTGTAGGAATTGCAGAGAAGCCTGATAATGAGCTGCTATCAGTGGGAAAAATGGTGATAAAATGGCTTCATTTTTAATAAGGCTTCTCTAAAGCTGGGGGGTACCTATTTGGGAATAACCACAATTAGAGGTGGCTGTTTCTCAAGTGCCACTTCCTCACAGACTGAGTGAACGACGAAGGAAGAGGCTGCAGGAGCTGGAGGGGCAGATTAATGAGCTGAAGAAGAAGCTGAATGAGCAATCCAAGCTCCTGAAGCTGAAGGAATCCACAGAGAGAACTGTCACCAAGCTGAACCAGGAGATCAGGGTAACTCCCCTCAGCATCCAGCCCTCAGGCTTGCTCCAGCCTAGGCAGAAGACACTCCCCTTTTCTTTTGTCACACTGAGAACACCAGTTTTTGGCAAGGTTCCTTTGGCTACGTGGCCACAGTTGCTGGTGGGATAGGATAGGCAGGTGACTACTGAGACTTGGAGGTATAAAAAGTCCACAGTGACTTCTGGCTATTCAGATAATTTATGGCCTCAGTCAGTTCACTTGACTTCCCTTTGATTTCCATGTGTTTGTCTTCCCTTTATGCCTTAAAAGAGGAATTTTTTGAGCCTCAGCACCTTTAGGCCTGTTCTGAGTGGGCAGCACACTGTAATATTTCCCCTCTGCCACCCTCCACCCCTGGCAAACACACTTCAGGAGCCCAGAATGGCCAATTCTTCCAGCTGTGGCTGTATTTCAGGAAATGAAATCCCAAAGGGTCCAGCTGATGCGCCAGATGAAAGATGATGCTGAGAAATTCAGGCAGTGGAAACAACAGAAGGACAAGGAAGTCATCCAGCTGAAAGAAAGGGTGAGGAAACACCAATTTTCCCCCCCAAGTTGTGCCTCCAAAGGGTGGAAATGAATCATTGGAGTGGTTTGCTGGGAGGCTTTAACTGGCCAAGCATCTGAAACACATCTGGGGAGTGCTTTGAAGAGAACATGGGTTCATATGGTCCCTTACTTATGGCTGGAGACCTTAAAGCTATCAACACACTTGCTGTGATGACTCTTTAAAGCCAAGAGCAGTAACACTGGATAGTTTTAAGGTTTCCAAGTGGGTTTGCCAATAGAATGGGAGGTGTTTAAACTTTGAGAGGAGTATTGAATCTGCAGGTGAATGAAATCCAGCTGCTTGTGGTGTCAGAGCAATGGCCAGTGTCTGTACCCCCTGAGTTCTGGCCTCTCAGAAATGAACTGGAACAAGTTCACCCCTCAATTCAACCCTTCAAAGTTCAACCCTTTGGGTTGCCAAGCCTCAAACTTTTGCTTTGCAGACTCTTACACCCTTTAAGCATTTCTGAAGGAGTCTGGAGCCCCTTGTAGTCACTCCAGCCATGGGCTTAACCTTGTAAAGAGCAGTGAAATCACTGTCAGGAACCAGGTGCATTGAAGAGCTGTGAAAATGCCTGGAGGCTTCAGTTTAATATGTAACATGCCATTTTTTTTCCCCTAAACATGATTTTTTCTGCTCATTTTTCCCCCCCAGGATCGTAAGAGACAGTATGAGCTCCTCAAGCTGGAAAGAGACTTCCAGAAGCAGGCCAACGTCCTCAGACGCAAGACAGAAGAGGTGAGGAGCCCAAATCTCCTGGAAAAACACCTCACCAGCTCCCAAAAGTCTGCTGAGGGTGTGAGGAGATGTGCAGAAACCTTCCAAAAGCAGCCTGGAGGTCCTGGAAGGGGTGCTCCTCCCTCTGGGGGGTGACAACATGCTTCTCTGGTAGCCTTGGAGGGGTTCTGGTTAGAATCACAGGATGTCAGGGGTTGGAAGGGAGCTCCAGAGAGGAGTCCAACCCTCCTGCCAGGGCAGGTCACACAGGAACCCATCCAGATGGGTCTGAAAAGCCTCCAAGGAAGGAGACTCCACAACCTCCCTGGGGAGCCTGTCCCAGTGCTCTGACAGCAAAGAAATTCTTCCTCATCTTGAGGTGGAACCTGTGCTCCAGGAAAAAAACTGCTCCTTTGAGGCTGAGCTCACCCTTTTGGAGCATCAGGCTGCTGGGGCTGATGTATCACAGGTACCTGAGCTAGAAAGTGTAAAAGGAGCCTGGGTGGGGGGCTGTCAGGGTGGCTGTGGAGAAGAAATGTCCTGAAACCCCCATTTTGGGGGCTGTCAGGGTGGCTGTAGAGAAGAAATGTCCTGAAACCCCCATTTTGGGCGCTCACTTCTACCTTTAGAAACAAATTCTCACCCAAGGGCGCATCCCAGCCGAGGAGTCAAGGACTCTAGTCTTGGCTTCATCCTAAAGCTACTCAGTGTTCAACCTTTGCCTTCTCTGTCTGGTTTGTGAACCCCCCTCACGTGTTGAAGGCTGAGGTGAATTAATTCCAGCTTCTCTGGGGGGGGGGTGAAACCTTCCCCAGGCACCCGCCGCCAACAAGCGCCTGAAGGACGCCCTGCAGAAGCAACGGGAGGTGGCTGACAAACGGAAGGAAAGCCAGAGCAGGGGCATGGAGGGAGTTGCTGCTCGGGTCAAGGTGAGTGTCAGGCTGCTGGCCAGACCCACAAAACCCTGCAGAGCATGGGGGAGGAACCTGCAGCGAGGTGCTGAGGGGAGAAGTGGGGTTGGGTTTCATCCCTGGGAGCGTTTCGGAGGAGGGTTCAGGCTGGAGGCTGAGGTTGCAGGGAAACGTGATCATGGGGCTGCTGTTTTTGGGTGTTTTTCCTCCAGAGCTGGCTGGCAAATGAAGTAGAGGTTCTGGTTAGTACTGAAGAGGCTCGACGGCACCTTGCAGACCTTCTGGAGGACAGGAAGATCTTGGCACAGGAGCTCCTTCAGCTTAAAGAGAAGAAAGAAGCTGGGGAAAACCCACCTCCAAAGCTCCGGGTAAGAGAGGAGAGGGGGGGACAACTTTTCCATGCTGTCACTTGCTCCTATTCCCATTTGACCCTTTCCTTCAGAAGAGAGGGGTGGAGATGGTTCCCTTTGGGGAAGAACTGAGGGAGTTTAAGCTTTAGAAGAGAGACTCAGAGGCTTTTGCAGTAGCACAGCCCCACTTTGTAAGGGAAGGCCCAGGCCCTGAGTGTGTTTCTTCACCTGTTGCTGACTTCTGCCTGTTGCTGCCCCTCCTCAGAGACGTACCTACTCCCTGGCAGACTTGCAGGCATCAGAGATGGACCTGTCCATATCCAAGCAGATCGAGAGCCTGGAGACTGAGATGGAGCTCAGGTGAGGCAGCGAGACAAACCTGAGCCAGTACTCCTGAGAAAGTAAAAACCCAAAACCTTCTACACTGACCCTAACAGTGAATGCAACCTCAGGCTCCTGTGTTCCTCCCCAGGAGTGCCCAGATAGCTGATCTGCAGCAGAAACTTCTGGATGCAGACAATGGGGATCGTGCCAAGCAACGCTGGGACAACATTGCAACCATTCTGGAGGCCAAATGTGCTCTCAAGTATCTCCTTGGAGAGGTGGAGTTTGAGTTTTCCTCTTCTTATCACCAAAGTCTGCTTAGCCAGGAGTGAAAGGAAGAGCTAAGAGCCTGACAGCAGATTTGGGTGAAGCACTTTTGTGCTGGATGAGGTTTCTTTCCCTGACAAGGCCTGATGGAGGCAGAGCCTCAACTGATAGATTAAGGGGAGTGCTCTGAAGTCAGAGGGGAAGCAGTGGAGTGGATGTTGAGCTGGGAAAACTTTGAGCAAAGTTTGGGAGAGGAGAGAGAGTAGGAATTGAGCTAATGTGTAACTGAGGAAAGAGCAACAGAATGACAGAATCCAGGTATCCATCCCTGCAGCTTGGGAATTAATGAAGGAGCCCATATGGGATGAGATCAATCTTTGGGGTCCCCAATTTAAAATCCTACAGGAAAAGGAGATGAATCTAGAACTGTTAACAAGAATTC